AATTAAATAATTTCCCAACATTCTTCTCCTGGGTATTGCACTTAAAAGGTAATTCCTCTCAAAGATACTTGAGCCACTTCTCAGCAGCTTCTCTTGGAACAAGATCTAAGATGCAAAGAAGAGTATTAAGGTGGTTGCCCTTTTTTTGCAGACGATTCACAACTAGAATTCCAAATGACATCAATGAATGTCTAAAAGATACAAAGTATCAAAATGTAATTGACGATTACAAGATTCTGAACAAAATAAAACATAATTACGAAACAAAAATTACTCCCACATTATTCTTAAAGATTTAAGCTCCTCCAAAAATATTTAATTGGGTTCAATTCAGCTATCAAAATATTTACCTTCAAAAATTGACATGAACTCAGAAAAGAGAGGAGATGGAATTTTCCTACCAATTTTATTGAGAAGTAAAGCAAGATGTTTTTCAGGTCCTGCTTTCATCACCATGTTTTCCATGTCAATACAGCGGCTGCCAAAGAGATCTCGAGCATCAAGCACTTCCAAAATGACATCAGAAGCTTCAATGACTTTGACCAACTCCTTATAGAAAGCCCTCTCAACTGTTTGAATCATGTAAAATTTCAAAATTTGTGAAGCAAAAAAAACTTTCAAAATTGTATAAATACAATCCTGTTGCTCTGGCTCGACTAAGGCAATGACAGATTTTCTCCATTGGCAGTGTATCCTTCTTTCCCCTCAATTTTTTTTAATCTTTATCTGATTCAACACCAGTGGGCCACGCAAATTTGTTTTGATTGGTGTCATCAGCTTTGTCGTCCTCATCCCCAACATCCATAGCGGACTCCTTCCTGACATAATCAACCTTAAAATAATTTGTTTACAAATTATTTTAAGAATCATTTTTTCTGAGGAATAGGAATGGAGGAAAGACTCGCATATGTAATTATGTTTAGCTTGCATTTTTACTTTTATGGCATTTTCATCTTATTTTTTGTAGGAGCCCAAGCCTAGCGGGCAGTTAGCACTTAGCAATCTTATGTAGTTATGTTATCTTGGACTTTATTTACTTTCTGGCAGTATGTTAAGAACTAAAATGCACAGTATGTTACTTTCTAGCTAGATGGATGTTAGACATCAAATNTTTTTTTACTTTCTGGCAGTATGTTACTTTCTGGCTAGATGGATTTTAGACATCAAATTATAGAACTCAGTGGAATATTGATTAAGTATTTGCATGTTCACAAATCACAATCCAATAAATAGAACGTAATAACCGTATAAGTATTACCTACCTTTTGTATTGTGTAACGTGAATTGTGATTTGGGAATTTAGGGATAAGTGAAAAAAATTAACGGTGGAGATGTTTTGCAGTTGTCTAGGTTTACAGTTACCGAGTAGGATTGTATTTTTTTTTTTAGTATTTTGGGTTGTACTGAAATATATTTTTATATGTATATACTTTTTATGTTTTAGTGCATTTAAATGTGTATCTCATTATATTTTCGACTATAATGATTGGTAACTGGTCAACGGTCTCCGCGACTCCGCCCTAGCTAAACAAAAGTTCTGGATTCGCCCCTGCAAGAAACTAAGAGCTCCAATGGAGGATCATCATCAACAACGAGCTTGTATTTGCAAAGTAACAATTCAAGCTTTTCTGCGTCTTCATTGCTAAATTCAGGTTCCTCCAATGCATAATTTCGGTTGAATAAATAATAGACTTTACTAATTTGTCATAACTTAGACAGAGATCATTTTTTTTTTCCTAATATATATTCATGTGCTTTATTAGTTTTACTTTAGCTTTGAAAAAAATAAAAAAAATTGTAGTAGTTTAAATTTCAGTGATGTAATTGTAATATATCAAAGTTGGAAGACCTGATTGAAATTTGACTGGAAGTTCAGTGCCCAAAAATGAAATTAACCTAAATGTGAGCCCTTATGTCATTAATTTTCAACCTGCAGGTAAATCAATGCATAAACCATTCATACAAGTTCAACAATTTTCTTGGTATTGGACATCAAAATCCATTATGTTCAAAGGTCGAAGTACTTTATTTTTCACGACTCTTGTTTAGTCTCAATTTTTGCAATTGTTTGATTTCTCATATTATAAAATTGGTCATTGTGTAAGACAAAAATTGGACTTAATCGATTGGTTTTCTAATTTCTCTTATAGTTATTATTACGCGTTCTTAGCTTCTGATTTTACACACTACGTTTTGTTTTATGCGTGATCACTATTTTGGAGACGTACTCCCTGATTTAATCATAATAGATACGATATGTTGTGTGTAGAGAGAGTAATTTAATAATATTATCATTGATATTATAGACTGAATTATCACTTGATTTTTGAATAAATAAGTTTTAAACCTGCCTCTGATCTGCTCGTTTTCCTATTAAAAGATCAGCCCCCATTGCAGAGAAGAAGAGAATGTGAAGTTGCTACACTTGTTAGAAGATAAAAATAGAACTATCATGTCAAAATAAAGCTTTGTTAGCTGTCCAGAATAAAGCTGTTTCATATTAGAATTAGATATCCATGTACGAAAGTGTCTTTCATAGATAATTAACGTAAGCTCTCTCAACCGTTTGAATCATGTAAAATTTCAAAATTCGTGAAGCAAAAAAAAACTCTCAAAATTGTATAAATACAATCCTGTTGCTCTGGCTCGACTAAGGCAATGACAGATTTTCTCAATTGGCGGTGTATCCTTCTTTCCCCTCAATTTTGTTAATCTTTATCCAATTCAACACCAGTGGGCAACGCGAATTTGTTTTGATTGGTGTCATCAGCTTTGTCGTCCTCATCCCCAACATCCATAGCAGACTCCTTCCTGACATAATCAACCTTAAAATCGTAATCATAGTCCAAGCCACGTTCCATTGCAGATGATTGGTTTTCCTTTTTCCGTCTTTTTTTCTCTGCCTTTCTCAACTTGGTGTTCAGCATGCCTTCCTCAGTGTACAGCTTCTTGTTTTGCCTGCTATTGGTAAATTCAGTCTTTTCGTGCCCTCCATCCTCGTCTCCAGATTCCATAGACTGGTCTTCATCATTGCTGACTTGATCTCCAGAATCCTTGCTTTGATTTAAATCTGGTAGTGATACATCATCCTGCACATGTAACAGACCACCCATGACAATCCATGTATAATCAAAAGTAAAAACATATCATTCAAATTCACTACGAATATGCTTTATACATGGTATTGGACAAGACTAAACAACATTATAAACAACATTTTTAGCTTCTTTTTCTTCCACAACACTTTCAATATTGTCCTGTAAGCAATCATCTCATTATAAAGCAGGAGTAATTATTCAACGAAAAGAATATCAAAGCCATTTTCATTTTGATTATTGTTAACTAAGATTTTCAAACCTCTCTTAGAAGAAGTAACAATGCGGAGAGATCACAAACCTCAAGCATCTTCTCATCAAAATTGAGAAGTCCATTTGAAGGAACTTCTACACAGTTGAAATCATTGATAGATTTCAAACTGCCAATAAATGAAGATTCACCACCATAAACTTCATCTACATTGAACTCCTTCCCAAGTACGGCGACAATCTTTTCCTCGGAATGCTCTCCTTCATTCCTAATGGGAGGCAGAGTATAGTATGGAATTTTACCTGCAGGTAAGGGGATAGGCTTGCATTTATTTGAACACCCATAGTTTTAAAAATCCAATTGAAACCCGCCTTAAGACCATTATCAAAGAGTATGCCACCTGACTTTATTCGAAAATCCAATTGAAACCTGCCTTAAGGCTATTAAGGCTGATATAGAAGTGGTTTTTGCAAGTGTATGCCCAAAAACGTAAAAATTCTAATAGATCCATTTTGAGAATAGTCCATTGCCCACAAAACGTTAAAAAATAGTAAAATAGTAACTCTATACAATTTTTCATTTGTTTATTTGCAAGTTTTAAATTAGTTCAAATTGTGTATGATGTGTTATGAGCTTATTTTGAATTTTAATAATGTTATTACATTTTTTGGGGGGGTCAATACTCGATTACCTTTTTTTAAACATTGTAAATACCTACATTTTTAAATCTAAAAATCACAAGTTCAGCTGTAAGTAATGTCTTATTTTCCAATTATTATTAATACATAACAAAATTCATTCCGTTTCACACTTTCTTATTTTAGGGGGCAGAAACATACATGAGTAAAAAAAATGTATGGTTCTCTACTTTTCCCTTTTTATTTGTTTTTCTTTTCCCCCAAGAACGCACACTCTAATTGTCAAAATATACATGCTTTTCAATGATAATTTGTGAGGAAGGTAAACCTGTATTCCAGTCGTGCAAAACGATCCTAGCAGCAGCATCAA